GCTGGCAGTTCAAACCCACCAGCCACTCCTCGGAAGGAAGGTTGGGCAATCCTACTTCCGTAGTGATACTGCCTCGGAAACCCAAGGAGGGGTCGCTATAAGTTGGGGCTGACTCGACAGCAAACAACAACAACATATTATTTTAGTTGTGTGGTAGGTGTTTTAAGTCAAAGGGATAAGTTCTAAGTAATTCCAATATGACAGGCCAACTGCAATATCAATGGATATTTGATTCAATGAGTTTTGATTCTAGGGAAAATGAAACATTTTATGCTGAAAGCATTGGTGTGATTCAAAAAATGATACGGATCAGTCCTCACCAACAAAAGGAAGCTTAGAACTATAATGAAAGCATGAGAAATATGGAAACAAAGAAAATGAATATTTTAGTTGTGACAATGAACAAGGTAGACCATGAGATGATGGCTTCCATTTACTAAAGAAAATGCTGTGTTAGAGAATCCTGGGATTTTATGGAAGCAAGAGATCTTCTCACAACCACTCTGATCAGGATCACAATGGAAGATTCTAGACACAGGAGGGAAGAATGCATAGAACAACATTCAAAATTTAAAAAAAAAAAACTTAATCATCCAATAGAGATGGGTGGAACCCTCGAGACTAAGACTCTCAAAGACCCTTCAAGCCTGAAACTGAACCCACTGCTGAGAATCAACTTTCAGGCAAACAGTAGTCAGGCTGGACAGGGCCTAAACAGTCAACAGGGTGGTGGTGGTGCAGTTCAGAGAAGCTGAAGGAGGAGACAGACCAGGAAGTGGGGCAAGCTAAGGTTTGAAGCAGCTGAGGGAGACCAGAAAGTGAGTGAAGATGTTTGAACAGCTGAGGGAGACAAACTTATCTGTCAGTTTGTCCTACTGTGGTGGTTTTGTGTTCTGGGAAGCTGAAGGCTATGCCATCAGTGTTACAAATGCCAGCAATGTTACCCATGCTGGACAGGTTTCAGCAAAGCTTCCAGATTAAGACAGACTCGGAAGAAGGAAGAGGCCATCCACTTCTCAAAGAATTGCCAGTGAAAACCTTATAAATAGCAGTGAAACATTGTCTGATGTATTACTGGAAAATTTTATGAGTAGCCCTGTAACATTGTCCAATATAGTGCCAAAAGAAGAGCCTCTCAGGTCAGAGGGCATTCAAGATATG